GAGAAAGGGAGAGAGAAAGGGAGAGAGAAAGGGAGAGAGAAAGGGAGAGAGAAAGGGAGAAAGTCTACTTCATATGGGTGTGCAGACACTGGAGCAAAAGATTTTTTCAGAAGTGTGGTGTAAACAATTCTCACTAGCTCCTCTACATCAGATATGGAGGTGATGACGGAAGTGAAATCTAGTAGCAGCTAAAATGCTACTGCAGTAATTATAAGATAGCCCTTTATCTACAAGCAGCTGCCAGCAGTCCATATTAATTTATCTAAGAGGCTTCATAGGGTAGCAAATAGCAAGAGCAAATGAGATAACAGAGACAGAGAAAGCCTTGAGATAAATAACTGCAAATATTCCATCTGCTTCACAGTAGCCACTAAATGAGAGTCCTTTTTTAAAAAATATACAAACACTCCATCTTCGTTGTTCATAACCTTGTTTTAGTTTCACTTTTTTTCACAGTGGGCATTTTCTTGACAAATAGTTTTCCTACAAATAAAACTTTAATTCCAGAGCCTTTTAAACAGCAACAGAGTTTTTGAATTTCTGAGAGAGCTCTTTTTGAGTGTATACATGTATTTTTGTTTTTGAGTATGTTTCTCTGAAAGTCTGCTGATGTTCATAATACAGTTCTTTTGAGAGAAGGCAAATGCACCTTTCAGGTGAGTTGTTACAGAATTTACAGGTTCCTCTGCTTTTCTCAGAGCCGAGAGATAGTATATACAAGGGGAAGTTAGAACAGAGTTAAACCTTAGAAGGAATTAAATGTAATTCCTACTCCAGAAGGCACAGTATGCCTCAAACACCTAGAAATTATTTTTTTCCCAATTCATGTATTTTTTCTATCATCTCACCATGGGTAATCTTAAAATGCACTGAAGTAATAACATCTATATTTTAAGAGAGTCAACATTACTATTTGCCCTCCAACTAAGGAGTTTTTCTATGATCCTTCATCCAAACTGTGTATGTCTGCACAGATTTTTTTCAAGAAGCTACAGGGTGGATATACTCAACACTATTTTTTGCCATGACCACCATTTTTTACACTGTTTTACAAGAGATTGACTGGCTGCCTAGTCCATTTTCTGAGGCCATGAGCAAAAGTTACTTCTAATAACCAATGTCAAATCCAGCTTCTGCAGATATCTTGTGATAAAAAGGGCTGTGTCTCCTTCCTGTGAAGAGCAAGCAGACAGAATTTCCAGACTCCCTTAACTCTTCCTTCAGGCTACTTTAACCTTTGAATAGCAACCCCAAAATCCCCTACAGTGTCAAAACACATGAGCTACATGATTTTTGCTCTTCTTTTTTGAAACCTTTTTGTATCATCTATATTTCCCCAAATGTGGAACACCTTTATTCTGAAGCCTGCAGTTTATTAGGCATCATCAAAATTTTAGTGATGGCAGTGGTGGTGAGAACAGACTAAGTTTTATGCATTTCAAAACCAACACACATATAAAATTATTTGGAGCTATTTCCTACAATACTACAATGTCAGTGATTAAGCTCCTCTAAGGTGAGAACTGCCTTCTGTTCTGCCTTTGTCTAGTCCCTTCCTGGGATAACCAAGACAAATAACTAACACCAACTCTAATGCTTCCAAACCAAGGTTTAAAGACAATCCACAACAAGGATGGCAAACAATTTCTCATGTTCTCATGACTCACCACAACATTGAATAGCGCTACATTCAAACCTTTCAGCTTAAATTTCACCAACCCAAACGGTCACAAAAAGGATTGGGCTGTATCCACAATCTGGCTGTGAGACCAACACTACAATGACCAGCAGCAATGCAAGAGTTAACAGTGTTGCCACACAAGTGGTAATAATAGGCTTCACCACTAATCCTCTCCTGAGCAGACTGGGAAAAGCTCACAGTTTCTTTGGTTCTCTTGTTCCAGCCTGGCTGCTAATTTAAAACATAGTTATATATCAGTTTACATTGTGAAGGTCACACCCCCAAGGCCAGGAACATCCCTTGTCTAAACAGGAGCGCAGGCTCATAAAATCCGTGCGAACGCACACACAAATTCTAAGCTGTTAGGGCTGTCTGGATCTCTCACCCCTATGGATTGGTCACAAACAGGATGCATCAGCATTTTAATTCAGGTCAGAAGTGTGCTTTCGTAACAATCCTTCCCACTGTCTCTAGTTTCAGCCACACCAATTCAATTCTGTCCTGATGAAGCTAAACTGAAAGATGCACTGCAGCGACTCAAGGGCATTTAGTTTGCCAGGCTGAGCCTGTTCTAAAGCCAATCCTTCATCAGATGTTTGCTTCTGCAGAACTATTCCTACTGGTTTGCCCTACTTTGTAAAATTGGATACAGCCACAGTGCCAATTACCTTCGTAGATTCTGTCTTCCACTGTCAAACTAACACCAAAACCCAACTGATCCTCACATGTTCTCTAAGGGGAACCAAAACTCCTCTTACTCCTTGCAGTGGTAGGAAGCAGGGAAAGGAAGACAAAAAGGGAATGGGGGGTGCTGCTCCCCGCTATTTCCTCAGTTATTTAGACTGGGAACCTTAGAGCCTGGAGACAAAACACCTTCAAAGCCATCAAGTGTCAAGTGTTGGTTTCTTGGGGACTGGACACACTATTCATTTTTCATTTGGCATTGCAGTTCCTTGGAATGAGCCATTAACTATTGTCAAAAACCACAGGCATTCAGCCAGCAGGGGCAAGGATACACTTCAGAATCTGCACTTGGAATTTACTGGGGTGCCTGGGAATATATCCCGTTCGATGCAGTAAATTAAGCAGAAGTACCAGGGTGTATTTTTTATTTTTCCCAGTTAAAAGTCTATGTATTCAGGTTGCCTATCAAAAAAAGAACAACAACTTAGAACGTGTCTTCACAGCCCCGGATGCAACACCTGAGCTAGGAAGCCCAGACGAACAAGTTCCATCAGTATGAAACAGCTCTGTGCAGACCACCAGAAGGTATGCTTTGCCTCTTTCTACTGAGGCAATACATTCCCTAATTGCCTGCACTGCTGCAGAACAGGCTCACAGTATTTCCCAGTGTCCAATACTGGGAGCTCCTGTGTCTTCTCATCAGTTCCAGTACAACCTCCAAGTTTAACTGTAAACACAAGTGATATTCTGTTAAGGCCAACAAACTAGACTGCTTTCAAGGCATCTGTTTTAAATCCAGTCTCTGTTTTTTTTCCTAAAAGATTTAAATTTCAGAAGCCTACTTTTATTTTCAAAGCAGGGTATTTTTTAAGGTTACTCACAGGAACAAGTACTTGCAGCCTGGTTTATGGTAACCTTCACTCCTTTCCTTCCACGTCCTAAATAACCACCCTTGTGTACCCCTTCTTCCCGTCTCCTCAACATCCTGAACTTACTTTTCAATGCCTAACACCCTGCCACCAGTGTTCTTCTATATGTTCAGACTTTCTACCCAGTACCTTCTCAGACATCTCCTACATCACTAACATTTGCGTTCCCAACATCTTCAGCGTGTGATGTCAAGCCATCTGGTTTTACCCACTAAAGCACTTCAGTAACAATGTGGCCCCCTAAGATGTCCCCTATGACTGCTCCAAAAGCCCATCTCACACTATCATATGCTTTATCTGGTTTTGGATCACTATCTGAGCGAGATGATGTGGTGCTGCTGCAACTACAACCTGCTGGGCACGCCTTCCTAAGGAAAGTGTTTAACCAACATTTCCCTTTGTAGGGGCACCAGCTGGGGTCAATCTTTCTTATCAAATCACCGGTTCTCAAGAAACACTTTAGAACTGCAGTTTATTAAGACCCCCTAATACATGGAGGAATGTATCTGAAACTGATTCACCACGTTCAAAATGTACCAGAGGACAAAGAGTTAACACAGACTCCAGTCTCAGCAGCAGGACTATTTCCATGGGAACCAAACCAGCTTAAAAAAAAAAAAAAAAAAAGGCAAATTTTATACTGAAGTGGAACAATCAGGTAAAAGTGAATTGAAACCATTTCTTATTACTCTTATGGGGTTGGATTTACTAGATGGAGTTGCCAAAAATATGCTAATGTCCATGGCTCAATAGAGCTTCCAATATAAAATAAAAGGGAAAAAAGTGCAAAACTTTCTGGGACAACTCCAGACTGCCTCAGTCTATAATTATTGTTCATATCTCAATATCCTGTGGCTATAGAGAAAAAGGCATTCTTGCAAGGTTTTTAAATGATTCATATTCTTGACTCGTAATCTGTCACAGATTACTAAAGGACTCTCAAGAGTAAACCCTGAACATATTTTATGCCTTTATACGGGAGGTATTTTCCCAACATCCAAATGGCTTTAAAATCAATTTATCTTGAAATGTCAAGGAACCATCAACAGAAAGCCTTTTCATATCTTTGCTGAAGAAAAAGTGCAAGGACTGCAACCAGCAATTCAGGAGCAGAAAAAAAAAAAAAAATCTTGTAATATGTAAACCCACTTCAAGACTACACTTATCAGCTCATCATCACCATTAGCCCACAGTACCCAAATGCCTACAGCTACAAAAATCAGCAAGAAACACAAAGGGGAAGGGGAAAGGGGGACTCACCTATGAGATACATGCCAATCCAGTCCCCTGCGTCCACTTCCTCTTTTATATCCCAGTATATCACCAGGTCCTGCGAATGCCCAATGGAGTAGTAGGAGCTGCTGACCATCAGGGTGGACCGGCTGTCTGAAGTGACAAGGTCCGTGTCGCTGGTAGACCTAGGAATGGTGACTGTCTCGTGGGAATTGTTCCTGATGTCCATGTTATGGAACTGGTCAGGGTTATAGCTGTATCTGAGAGGCTCCTTGCACCGGCGCCGATTTTGGGAGTTTCTAGATGGGGACGCCATGGCTGCCAGGCCCAGGAACCTGTTTTGGTACAGATTCTGCAAAGACAAAAAAAAAAAAAAAGAAAGGACAGCATTTACAGTATTATTCGTTTTTCAGTGATATCAAAGCTCAGGAAAAGTAGTACGTTGTAATGAGAAAGTCGCAGATCTACCAGAAGAGGTAGCAGGAAACACAGTGCTAACTCGGCTCCTACTCTGTAATTTGTACCATGAAAACAAGTGTAAGAGCAAGCTC